GCTGGGGTGGTATGGATGGTCATGAGGACTGTGAGACACTAGCCAGGGAGGTATGGGTGTTCATGTGGACTAGGAGACACTATCCAGAGAGGTTTGGATGGTCATAAGGACTGGGAGACACAAGCCAGGGAGGTATGGATGGTAATAGGGACCGAGAAATACTTGTCTGGGAGGTACGGCCGGTCATGTGGACAGGTAGACACACCCTTGGGAGGTATGGATGATCATGTGGACTGGGAGAAATTAGCCTGGGAGGTATGGATGGTAATGGGTACTGGGTGCCACTAGCCAGGGTGGAATTAATGGTCATAGGGACTGGGTGACACTAGCCAGGGAGGTATGGATCGTCATGGGGACTCGGAGACACTAGCAAAGGAGGTATGGATGATCATATGGACTAGGTCATAGGGACACTAGCTTGGCAGGTATGGATAGTAAAGGAGGACTGGAGGACAATAGCCAGGGAGGTATGGATGATCATTGGAACTGGGAGACATTAGTCTGGGTGGTACAAATGGACATGGGGAGAAGGTGACACTAGCCTGGGAGATATGGATGGTCATGGGGGATTGGGAGTCACTAGCCTGATAATTACGGAGAGTTATGGAGACTGGGTGATACTTCCCAGTGAGATATGGATAGTCATTGGGACTGGGAGAAACTAGTTTATGGTGTACAGATGATCATGGGGGGCTGGGAGACAAAACCCTAGGAGGTATGGATGGTCATGGCTTAATGGGAGACACGAGCCAGGAATGTATGGATGGTCATTGGGACTGGGAGGCACTAGCCAATGAGATATGGATGGTCATGGAAACTAGAGACACTAGTCATTGAGGTATGGAATCTTATGGGGTCTGGGAGACACTAGCCTGGACGGTATAGATGGTCATGGTGTCTTGGAGACACTCGCCTGGGAGGTACGGACGGTCATGGGGACAGCTAGACACACGCATGGAAGGTATGGATGATCATGGGGACTGGGAGACAGTAGCCTGGGAGGTATGGATGGTCATGGGTACTTGGTGAGACAAGCCATGAGAGTATGGATGGCCATGAAAACTGGGAGAAACTAGCCATGGAGGTATGAAATGTCATGGAGACTGAAAGATACTAACCTGGTAAGAATGGATGGTCATGGGGGACTGAGAGGTATGGATAATCATGGAAACTGCGTGATACTTGCCAGAGAGATATGGATGGCCATTGGGACTGGGAGAAAGTAGTTTAGGATGTACGAATGGAAATGGGAATGGGAAGACACAACCCTGGAAGGTTGTGTCATGGTATTGTCATGGTGGACTGGGTGACACTATCAAGGGAGGTTTAGATGGTCATGGGGACTGGGAGACAATAGTCAGTGACGTATGGAAGGCCATAGGGACGGAGAGACAATAGCCTGGGACATATCGATGGTCAAGGGGACTGGGAGACACTATATCCAGGGAGGTATTGATGGTATTGGGGACTGAGGGACACTTGCCAAGGAGGTATTGATAGTCATGGGGACTGAGAGACATTTGCCTGGGGGGTATGGATGGTCATGGGGCCTTAGTGACACTAGCAAGTTAGGTAAGGATGATCATGTGGACTGGTAGACATTAGACAGGGAGGTATGGATGGTCATTAGTACTGGGTGACACTGGCTAGGGAGGTATTGATGGTGATGGGGACTGGCTGACACTAGCTAAGGAGGTATGGATGGACATGGGGCCTGGGTGACTCTATCCAGGGAGGTATTGATAATCATGGGGACTGGGTGACACTAGCCACAGAGGTGGTTTGTATGGTCATGTAGAATGGGAGACACTAGCCTAGAATGAACGGGTGATCATGAGTGACACTAGCCAGGGAGGTAAGGATGACCATGAGGAATTGGAGGCACTAGCCTGGGAGGTATTGATGGTCATGGGGGACTGGGTGACACTAGCCAGGGAGGTATGGATGGTCATGAGAACTGGAAGCCACTAGCCTGGTAGGTATGAATGGTCATGGTGGCTTGGTGACACTAGCCAGGGAGGTATGGATAATCACGGGGACTGGGAGACAATATCCTGTGAGGTACAGATGGTCACGGAGACTGGTGACACATGCCTGGAGAGGTATGGATGATCATGTGGACTGGGAGGCATTACCCTTGAGGGTATGGATGGTCATGTGTATTGAGGTGACACTAGCTAGGGAGGTATGGATGGTCATGGAGACAGGGTGACACTACCCTGGGAGGCATGGATGGTCATGGAGACTGGGAGACACTACCCTGGGAGGTATGGATGGTCATAGAGACTGGGAGACACTAGCGAGGGAGGTATGAATGAACATGTGAACTTGGAGACTTTTCCTTGGAAGGTATGTATGGTCATGGGTACTGGTGAAAGTAGCCAGGGAGGTATTGATGGACATAAGAGGACTGGGTGACACTAGCCAGGGAGTTATGGATGGTCATAGGTACTGGGAGACACTAGACTAGGATATACTAATGGTCATGGAGACTGTGAGACACTAGCCTGGCCGGTATGAATGGTCATGGGGACTAGGTGACACTAGCCAGTGAGGTATGGAAGGTCATGGGGACTGGGTGACACTAGCAAGGGAGGTATCGATGATCATGGGGACTGGGAGACACTTGCCTAGTAGGTATGGATGGTCATTGGTATTGGGTTACATTAGCAAGAGAGGTATTGATGGTCATGTTGACTGGATGACACTATCCAAGGAGGTATGGATGGTCATGTGGGATTGAGAGACGCTAGTTATGGAGATATGGATGGTCATGGGGGACTGGGTGACACTAGCAAGGGAGGTACGGATGATCATGGGGACCTGAAGACACTAGTCTGGTAGGTTCGATTGGTCATGAGGAGTGGGGGACACTAGCCTTGGAGGTATGGATGATCATAGGTACTGGGTGACACTAGCCACAGAGGTATTGGTGGTCATGGGGACTGGACGACACTAGCCAGTGAGGTATGGAGGGTAATCGGTTCTGGGAGACACTATCCATGAAGGTACGTTTGGTAATGGGGACTGAGATACAATATCCCTGGAGATATGGTTGGTCATGCAGACCGGGAGTAATCTGGGAAGTATGAATTGTCATGAGGACTGGGAGATACTAGCCAGTAAGGAGTAGATGGTCATGAGTACTGGGTGACACTAGCCAGGGAGGTATGGATGATCATGATGGCTTGGTGACACTAGCTAGGGAGGTATGGATAATCATGGGGACTGGGAGACGCTAGCCTGTGAGGTACGGAAGGTCATGGAGACTGGGTGACACGATCCTGGGGGGTATGGATGGTCATGGTGACTGGGAATCTCTAGCCAGGGAGGTACGGATGGTCATGGGGACTGGGAGACACTAGCTAGTAAGAAGTGGATGGTCATGGGGATTGGGTGACAATAGCCAGGGAGGTATGGATGGTCATGTGAACTGAGGAAAACTAGCTTAGGTGGTATGAATGGTCTTGGGTACTAGGAGACTCTAGTTTTGGAGGTATGGATGGTCATGGGTACTTCAAGACTCTATGCAGGAAGGTATGGATGGTCATTGTGACTGGGTGACACTATACAGGGAGGTACGGTTGGTTTTGGGGACTTGGTGAAACTATCCTAGGAGGTATGGATGGTCATGGGGGACTGGGAGACACAGTTTAGGGAGATACGGATGGTCATGGGGACTGGGATATACAAGCCAGGGAGATGTGAATGGTGATGGGGACTGGGATACACTAGCCGGGGATGTACGGATGGTTATGGGATAAGAAGAGTCTAGCTTGGGAAGTATGGTCTGTCATGGGGACTAGGAGACACTAGTCGGGGAGGTATGGATTGTTATGGGGACTATGAGACACAAGCCAGGGTTGTATGGATGGCCATGGGGATAAGGAGACTCTAGCTTGGGAGGTGGGAGTTATTGATGGTCATGGGGGATGGGTAACACTTGCCAGAGAGGTAATGGATTTTCATGGGGAATGGGCGACACTAGCTAGGGAGGTATGGATGGTCATAGGGACTGGGAGACTCGTGCTTGGGAATTATGGTTGGTCATGGGGCTAGGAGACTCTAGCTTGGGAGGTATGGATGGTCATGTGGACTGAGAGACACTTGCTTTAGAGGTATAGATGGTCACTAGGTCACTGGAGTATGGATGACCATAGATTGATGGTCACTGGAACTGAGAGGCACTATCTTGGGAGATATGGATGGTCATGGTGACTAAGTGACACTTGCCTGGTAGGTATGGATGGTCATTAGGACTAGGAGACTCTAGCTTGGTAGGTATGGATGGTCATGGGGACTGGGAGGCACTTTTCATGGTGGTACGGATGGTCATGAGGACTGACAGACACTAGCCTTAGAGTATAGATGATCATGGGGACTAGGAGACACTAGCCTGGGAGGTACGGATGGTCAAAGGACCTAGGAGATACTTGCCTTGGCGGTACGGATGGTCGATGGGACTACAACCCGTCCTCTTAAAAATAACATCACTCTTAGCTGGTATGCGTGCTATGGCCAAATTTGGACGTAATTTGAAATGAAATTGACCCACAAAAGTGACGTTCTGTTCCGTTTTCTGTTTGGGTCGTTAGGCTTACTCGGCAAGCTTAGAAATGGAAACTTTCCATTAACGTTTTTCATACCGTTTTGAAACTTTATAATAATTTCCTGCCCATCTAACCTATCAGAGGACCCTTAACTTACTGTTGTTGAAAAAAAATCCAAAATTTATTTTCATTTTTTTTTCATTTTCAAATTACGTCCATATTCGACCATACGGGCAAACGGCCAAAAGCGACGTTCTTTTTAAGAGGACAGGTTGCTAGGAGCCACTATCATGGGTGGTACGGATTGGCAAGGGAAGGGAAGCATATAGTATTGTTGTCATGATCATTGATTATATTTAAGGTTACAAAACTACGGAAAATACATTAGGATAAAAATATTTAATTCATCAATGTAAATTAATAACTCTGATTTTTGCATTATCTTTCAAGGAAGCTGCATGGGCAATATCATCAACGGAGGTAGCGTCCGACACAGCAGCACTGCCGAGGGCGGCGTGGGTGACATCTCCTGCGAGGGAATCATTAGTGTCAACAGCACCAGCGAGGGAAGCATTAGTGACAATAGTCTCCTCAAACGAAGTGTATATACAGATACTTCCTTGAGTGTCAAACACAACAGTCGTTGTAAGAACACAACAAGCTCTACAACAGCATGTGCGCCAACAAGGCCATCAAAGAGCAGTGGTAATCCTCCAAGAACAGTTGTGGATACAGCAAGAGATGACTCACAGGAAACACATTAAGAATGAGATGGAGAGACAGCGTTTGGTGACGGCTTGGACTGCGCTCTTGCTGTGTGCTGTGGCGGTTACGATAGTGCCTCTTGCCTTCACACTGCCCCTCCCAGTGCCTCCTGATGCGGTGCTTGTTGACCAAGGACCTAGTGACCTGAAAAGTGTTGGTTATAAACCCGTTGAATCAACAGCTGTTGCTATCCTAGTGCCTCTTGACCAAGCACCTGTAAGCCTTACACTTTCTGGCATAACACCTGCTCACCTGGCACCTGTTGACCTAAACCCGAAAGATCGCACAACATCTGAGCCAACATCTGTCGAACAAGAACCTACTTACCTGCTGGTTCCTGAAAATTCACGTCCTGTCCCATCACCAACTGATGGAGAAAGTGCTCATGTGGCAGTTCATGACCCAATGCATGCTGACACACTACCTAATGTGAAGTCTGTTGACCTGGCGACTATTGGCTCAGGACTTGATGACTCAGTACCTGCTGACCCAGTACCTGCTGACCCAGTACCTGCTGATCCAACACCTGCTGACTCAACCTTTTTAGACCCGGCATTTAGTACTTTGGACCCACATGAGGCGAAAATTTCCTGTCCAACAGCTCCTAACCACAATTTGGCTGACTTTGATCTCTATTATATATTATGTCCATTAAATATGATGTTCAGTCAAACACCGGCTGAGACCACTGGCAGACCACCGGCAGACCACACGCCTAGCGCCCCAGTACCCTCCCACATGACATCTCAAGGTATTTTTTACTTTAACTGTTAATACACTGTTTCATTAAATTTCGGTCAAGCACCAAAGCAAATAAACATACAACTAAGACATAGGCATATGTCCAGATTATAGAATATTTATTTAACGTTTTTCATGAAATAACAAATTGCAAATACGTCTGTGTATACAGAGCATCATTCAGACACGAGTATGATTTTAAACAAAAATTCAGCTGTGAAAAATTCCTATTTCCAGGGTAGCAGGTCTCAGGAGTCTGGGTTCAGGCACCACTGGGTCAAGCTGGGTCTGAACGACCCCTCTATTCACGACATGGCATGCAAATTCTGTAGACTTTATTTTAATTTGAGAAGAGGTGTGCAAAACCCATCGACTCTAAAGTAATTTGAAAAGAGTTGTGCAAATCTTGTAGACATTATTGTGATTTTAGAATATGTGTGCTAATCCCATAGGGTTTATCTCATTTTGTAGCTTTTAGTAGGCAGACTTTATCAGAAATATTTTCTGAAGACCTAAACATTGGTAATGGGGGTTTAAATGTGTAGAGTTCATTTCATGTTGTAGTTTTTAGCACTTAGACATTATCAGAAACATTTCCCCGTAGAATTAAATGTGAAAACGGGGTTTGAAGTGTGTAAAGTTAGTCTCATGGTAAAGTTTTAAATGAATAGGCTTTCAACTTCCATCGCAGTCTACTAGTTTTCTCAGATGACTACCATTATCTTCCTCTTGGCCTCTCGTTTGAGTCTTATACAGTGGGATAATCACAGTGAAGAGTAAATCACTCCTAACGAGAAAGTTGCGTTTTCACGTGAAGAGTGTCTTCTGTTTCCAGCATTCGGAACCTGCTCCAACTACCACCGTAAACTACCAGTGCTCCCCCATTTTCATCATCTTCTCCTCTCCTATCAGCCGTCAACCAGCTCAACCACACTTCCCACCACCCTAAGTACCTACCAGCATCCCTCATCTACCACCAGCGCCCCGGCTTCCATCATCGACACTAACCTTCTCAATCACCCACTGGTCCTAGCAACCCTACCGTCACAACCACCCCCACCTCCATCACCACCGTCGTCGCTACCAGTGCCATCTGGCATCTACCACCACATGATTCTCAAAATCTCGATCTGTTCTGCCTTCAAAACTAGCGTCGCCTTTCGTACATTATTGTACATATCTAACCTATATTCATCTTAATCTTTATTATTGTAGCAATTAAATTATGTCAGTAATATACTTGCTTCATATTCTCATTAGCTTATGTGCAGACAGTGAGAACTATTTAATTCTACTTAGTCCACTAAGTACAATTAATACCTCTTCCCAAACCTGCTAGAGGGTGGTCAGATGAGGGGGACCGATTATATAAGCAGTCAATAGCAAAACATCATCCAATTTTTTCGTGTCAGTTACAGCCCCGCTCCTGTGCCAGGTAAGTCCACTACGGGCTCACCATAGGCCGTGCTACTTGGAACTTTTTGTTCCAAGTAGCGAATCTTAAACAACAACAACGAAACATCATCCTATTGGGTGGCCTAATCTTTATTAATCAATCAAACATCATCATTACGGGCTATTAATGCCCGTGCCACCTCTTGGGTGGCTTAATCTTCATCAATAAAACCTTATCAGTCTAACTCCAAGAGTGGTTCAGTACAGATGTTTGAGAGATACCACACAACTTCAACATTCACCACAACAAAATAACACTCGAGGTGTCCAGTTCCTATCCTCACAAGACGCTTCAGCCTCGACACAGAACAGACAGCCAGACTCCTCCATCCTTTCTCCGGCTTTCCATTGTCTTCCATTCTCTCCACCAGTTCCTCATGCGTCAACTTAACCCCTTTCCCTTGCATCAGTATCTATGCACCAACCAAGCCGTCATGTTTGCAACACAAGAACGTAGCACGTAGCTACGTAGTGTCAGCACATAGTGAAAGGAGAGAGAAGGAGAGAGAGACAGAGAGAGAGAGAGAGAGAGAGAGAGAGAGAGAGAGAGAGAGAGAGAGAGAGAGAGAGAGAGAGAGAGAGAGAGAGAGAGAGAGAGAGAGAGAGAGAGAGAGAGAGAGAGAGAGAGAGAGAGAGAGAGAGAGAGAGAGAGAGAGAGAGAGAGAGAGAGAGAGAGAGAGAGAGAGAGAGAGAGAGAGAGAGAGAGAGAGAGAGAGAGAGAGAGAGAGAGAGAGAGAGAGAGAGAGAGAGAGAGAGAGAGAGAGAGAGAGAGAGAGAGAGAGAGAGAGAGAGAGAGAGAGAGAGAGAGAGAGAGAGAGTATGGATTAATACAAGGCCTGTCGACCAGACTTCATAACAAAGGGACAATGAAGTAGTGTCCGGACATCATAACCCACGAACTATGGTGTAGTGTCTAGACATCATAACCCACTGACAAAGGTGTAATGTTTAAACAGTATAACCCATTAATAATGGTGTAGTGTTCAGACATAATAACCCACTGATATTAGTGCATTGTCCGGACATGATAACCCATGGACATCGGTATAGTGTCCAGACATAATAACCCAAATTCAAGGGTCCAGACATCATATCCTACGAACAATGGTGTAGTGTCCAGACATCATATCCCATGGACAATTATGTGGTGTCCTGATATCATAACCCTCGAACAATAGCGTTGTGTCCATTCATCATAACCCATAGTAAATCGTGTAGTGTCCAGACATCATAACCCACTAACAATAGTATAGTGTCCAGATATCATAACGTATGGGTATTGGTGTAATGTCTAAACATCATAACCCACCTGACAATTGTGTATTGACCAGACTTTATAACCAATGGTGTAGTATTCACTACACCATTGGTTATAAACACCATTGTAATGTCCCCGGACACCATGGACAGTGGTATAGTGACCAGACATCATAATACACGAACATTGGTGTAGTGTCCAGACATTATAACTCATGGACAACAGTGTAGTGTCTAGACATCATAACGCATGGGCAATAGTATAGTGTCCAGACATCATAACCTACTGACAATGGTGTTGTAATGACATCATAACCCATGGACAATGGTGTAGTGTCTAGAGATCAAAACCCATGGACAATGGTGTAGTGTCCAGACGTCATAACCCACGGATAATAGTGTATTGTCCAAACATCATAACCCACTGACAATAGTGTACTGTTCAGGCATCTTAACCTACTTACAATAGTTTAGTGCCCAGACATCATAACCCATGGACAATGATGTAGTGTCCTGACAACATAACCCTCTGACAATAGTGTGGTGTCCAGACACAATAACACACTGGCAATGGTGTAGTGTCCAGACATCATAAACCACTTACAATGGAGTAATGTCCAGACATCATAACCCTCTGACAATGGTGTTATGTCCAGGCACAATAACCCACTAACAATGTTGTAGTGTTCAGACAGCTTAACCATCTGACAAGGGTGTAGTGTTCTGACAGCTTAACCATCTGACAAGGGTGTAGTGTTCAGACATCTTAACCATCTGACAAAGGTGTAGTGTTCAGACATCTTAACCATCTGACAAGGGTGTAGTGTCCAGACATCTTAACCATCTGACAAGGGTGTAGTGTCCAGACATCTTAACCATCTGACAAGGGTGTAGTGTCCAGACACAATAACCCATGTTCTGAAAAGAAATAAAATTCTTGTATTCACTGAGCAACAGGGCAAGTAAAGCTGACCAATGAAAAGTTAATATTTTCAGTTTGTTAGTTACATTTCAGACAAATTAGTTACTATATTGCCATGTAGATAAAGTGCCGAGTCATAAGAATAATAATTTCCCGCGCATTGTGACGCTCTTGTATAACGTTCTTTCATTTTTAACATAAGACTAATATTGAAAGTTTTCTTGCAATTAAGAGAAATGTGTGATCATCAGGTAGCGCCGTGTCCCTGGATGAGGCCATCATCAGTGGGGACGTAGAGCTAGTGCAGCAGCTCATCACTGATCCTGACCTCACCTCATGGAACCTTTTTGGTAAGTATGAAGTACGTAGACTCGTTGACCTAAGATATGTGTATCTCGTCTTACACGTTTATAACAAAGGTACCAAATGAGACTTATAAGAGAATGGATTTTGCCCTCTGTCGCTGCATCCTCTTCGCCGTTCCGAGCTTCTGCATCTTTATGGTGGCTGAAGCACTGACATCTATAACAGCGCATGGGCTGAGGATTCAATAGCCTTAGGCTGAATAGCCTTAGCTACACAGCACTGATATATTAAAAAATCTGCATAAAGAAGGTGTGACGGGAAAAGTAGGTGTTCGTGCAGTCTCTAGGCAGATGGAATGTCAATCACATAAAATAGTAAAAAAAATAAAAAGAAAAAATAAACTGCAAATTGTCTTCACACTGAGGCAAACTGTAGGATAAAGCAGAGGGAAAAACATTTAAAAATACTTTACTTTGATAAAAAAAATAAACAAATTACAAAACAATATATCCAGGCTTGGCTCTAATACAAAGTGTGCAAAACAAACAAGGTGAACAATCAAATTTACGTTACGTTATTGAGCAAAATAAAATATGGTGCAGGAATACTGTGAGCCAGGCTGACTACATCCGTTACCACACCACAACCCGTTCTCCCACTTTCGTATAGTCAATATTGACTTATTAAATACGTGCATATGTGACATACTAAACATACTAGTTTACCTTGAAAAGCTTCATAGAAAACACCGACCTTACCTAACCTTCTTAGTATGTTAAGATAAGCATCTTATTGCTTCGTAATTACAATTATTACTTAACCTATTATAGGTATAGGTTAGTATACCTATAATAGGTTAGTTATAATAGGTATAGGTTAAGCCTATACCTATTATAGGTATAGGCTTAACCTATAATAGGTATAGGTATTACTTAACCTATACCTATTATAGGTATAGGTCAAGTAATAATTATAATTACGAAGCAATAAGATGCTTATCTTAACATACTTAGAAGGTTAGGTAAAGTCGGTGTTTTCTATGAAGCTTTTCAAGGTAAACTAGTATGTTTAGTATGTCACATATGCACGTATTAAATAAGTCAATATTGACTGTAAGAAAGTGCAAGAATGGGTTGCACACCGAGATTTGTTAAGATGAGTAATCTGAAATGTAGTGGGCTAGGCAGCCCTATATATACACAATGACGGCCGGGCAGATGGCGCTGGTGACTTCCTTAACTATTAAACGGCTCTTAAACTGCTTGTTTTGGATAGCGTGAGCCCCAGCGACCCAGGTGCGAGGTGGGGTGACGGGCAGTGGGGTATGGGGGGGACTGAAGCTACTGTCTAGATGTCTGGAAGTAGTTGTTCATGTGGCTGCAGTACTTGCATATATAGACGTGATATGGGTAGAATAGGTGATGATGGAGCAGGCCGAATCTCTTCCTAGAGATTTTACCTTGACAGCTCTCCCCCGAAGCCTGCTCCTATTGCCTATTCGACTGCAGTGGAGTGTAGAATAGTAGGAGTGGATGAGTCCACCTCGTGGATTCGTGAAAGTGCGTCGGCGACGATGTTGTCCGATCCTTTGATGAAGTAGATGGTGATGTTTAAGTTCTGCAGGTACAGGGCCCAGCATAGCAGACGTTGGTTTGAGAACTGGGCCTGTTGCAGAAACTGGAGAGGATGGTGCTTGAAGATGTTGAGGTAGCACTGCAGGACTCTGAAGTATGAATTTGCTGTAGAATCGAGCCTGCTGAATGGATCGACGGGAATAGTGATCCAAGGAGATGGTGAGATTGTTCCTTTGATGCAAGGCCCAGCGTAGCAAGTATTGATTTGAAAACTGGGCTAGCAGTAAGAACTGAAGGAGATTGTGATACATGATGTTCACATGGTGATGCAGGATTCAGCGAAGTTTGGAGAACTGATCTTGATGTAGGGACCGAAGAATGTTGAAGTCCGAGGTGAGGTTGAAGTTGTAACCTAATAGATTGGATGGTACGTTGTGTTGCACGTCGAGCAGGATGTTGAGTGGCTCCTCTCTGATGATTGTAGCTATAGTTCATGATCGCATCTCGCGGCGGTGTGATGGTGTTTCTAACGCCAGGGTGGAAGACTAAAGGTTTTCTAATACCTGGCAGGGAGAGAATGGAGTTAGTACTAGACAAGGATTTACGCCTTTCAAATGCAATGGAAGGCAAGTTTATCATACAATATTTTAGCCGAGGGTTGGTAAAGTTGTCTGGAGGAGCACGTTTATTTGGATTTGGTTCGTAGAGAGAAGGATCTTTCCGGGTGTTGGAATAGATCGAGAATTTAGAGCCATTGTAGTCAGACCAAGTACAACGAGAAGGATTAGACAATACCTTGGTGATGGTTGTCTTACTCAGGTCGTTGGAGGAGATGGTATCACACTGTGGGACATTTGGGGCTTGACTCTATTTATTTAAATATTAATGTAATGAAATTCTATTACGAAGGACCACCCGCTTTTATAGTAAAGAGGGAAACTAATAAAATATGATCATTAGAAAATTCCTAGATGAACCAGTAACTATGGATAAAATACTAGAGAATATGATCACTTATATAATTAATGGGCTGTATAATTTAACTGAATCAAAGCCTCAAACACCTACATTGGGGGGTTATTACTGGAACTTCATATATGTCCAGGAACTAGTGTGGTTCGTGCACCAGTTCATTATGCAATAATCTAATCCTATGACCAATTATAGAATCATTGTATTTGTCACCAATAAGAACATAGATTATGAACATGAGAAATTAATAATTATAATAAACACATGTTAATCCAGAAAACAGTGATCCGCAAGAATAATGTATTACAGATAATGTAATTTAAGGAATACGGAAAAGGGTCTTAGCTTGAAGACGTTTTCCAAGACATCGGTTATGACTCATCCTCGGAATCTCCTGAACTCATCATGGAACACTGCGAGATGATTAACACGGGAAATGACAGCTCGGGGAATTCTTCACACATGCTGCAAATCAAATATATTCAGTAGCAACATATTAAGTTGCTAAACATCTATGTTCAAGAAAATTAAATTAGAGAATGGAGACAGATAATAACCTGTGGTTTTTTATAGTCGCTCTGTGTGACGACAAGCTACCCAGCTATATCCTATCCTAAATGATGCATCAAACAGGAATAAGGGTACTTAGCTAATAGGGCACTGTGTAAGTTAAGGCTTGCCGAAGTTCGCGTCCTAGGTTCAGGCGTCGCAGTAACGAACACGTGGTGTCGAGCCTAGCCTAGATGTTGACACGTTCCTCTGGCCGGTCACGTTGTGCTACACGGAACAAATTAACAGGTTCCTGGCTGAACGTCAAGTTAATTCTCTTGACAATTCAATACGGCGTATAAAGTGACACTGACACCAGCTAAGTTGTTGTCTGCAACTGTTCTTCACACCTCACAGTGGCGACTTTCGTCTTCCGCTCTTGGTGGCGTCCACCCCGGCGGCTTGGGTAATGGCGTCTCTCTCTCCCTGCTCCGCGTCCCGCATTTGATACACAAATTATTAACTACGAATAATATCATCTCTCGCAGTTGTGATTGAAATGCTCGGATAAGGACGGGTTTATTATTCAGAGGAGTTAAATATTATTATTCACCCCTTTTACGATGGTAAACAAGCAATGGAGAGGAATTAAAGTCTCTCCAGGGCATTCACGCGTGACGTTAAATTTATTACCAGATAACAGTTATAACTATAAACGCTCTATTTGGCATTAGTTGGGGATCAGTTTATCTGTAAATAATTATCACACAGAACACCGTTGTTTTATAGAGAATCAAACTCAATTCTCAGACACACTGGATATAGTTGTGTTTATTATAATGGAATCTGACGCAATACTGGCGTCTGGTGACGTAAGAATTCTAGCCTTATTGTACAGATGTAATTATTAGTACATGTGAACTCTACGTTTGGTTAATTTTAATTACTACAATGATTAGTAGATTTAGTAATAATTAATAATAATACAACAGTGTTGTATTATGTTGGAAATTTCCAACACACACTTTTTCTGATTTTCCTGGCGGTGTCCGTACTGCGGGCACTGCTTCCCGAGGCGTTTCACAACGTTAGCAGCCGTACTGTTCTGGACGGAAACTTCTGTAGAATACCTGATGGTAGAACAAGGGATAGAACACAAAGGAACATTACCGGAGCCTGTCTGGGGCAGAGGCTCGTCATAGTTGGTATGTCTGAACGGCTCAGAAGACACTGGTACCTGTATCAGGGGTGTCTTTAATAGAGGAGCTGTTGTTATAGATTCAGCTACTCAGAACAAATTCCAAGTAGCACGGGCTATGGTGAGCCTGTAACTTACCTGGCCCAGGAGCAGGGCAAATAGCACGAATAGAGGAGCGTTCGGTTTACCTGTCATCTGAGACATGTGACAATTCTTGACAAAGCTTTTGATATCTCTAATCATACCTGGCCAGTAGTAGTCCTGTTTCAGGGCCTTGTAGGTCTTGTAGAAGCTGTAGTGTGAACGAGTTCCCCTGACCAGACGCAAGATTTCTGATCGTAGGCTGTTGGGAACTACCAGTTGTTTGATGTTGACCCGATCGTCATTCTCCAATTTCCTGGTTCTATAATACCGGTAAAACACTTCATTTTCTACAAAGAAACCAGCGATAGAGTTAAGTTGTGTCTCAGCCTGTAAGAATAAAGATGTTAAGGAGGGATCATCTCTCTGCAACTTACGGAACTACATTACTGTGAGATTCGGAAGGAGGCTCGAAGAACCGTGAGGAACAGCTGCAGCAGCAGGTTTCGGGCGAGCAGCTATGGCCAGCTTCGTCACCATAACAGGAGGGAAGACGTCAGAATCTGTTGCTTGGACCTCTTCATCCAACTGCAAAACAAGATTTTCCACTGCCGAGTCACATACCTGGGGATCTTCCTTGCTGATTACATTCGCAGGTTGTTGATCTTCTGCCAAGTCGTGGCCCAGGAGAAGTTGAACTCCTAACATAGGAAGAGGCTTTTCCCGGATG